CCTTGGTAGGAACCACCTGAAAATCTATAACATATCACTGGTAGTTGCTGGTGACTGCAGGTGTCACGTGGCCCGTTCAAGCCGGTATCTTCCTAGAACCTAGATAATATAAGAGAGGTCTGTCTTTTGAATCCATCCATCCACAATGTACTGGTTTTCTCTGCGATAATTTTCTTCATATGAGCTGGCATGGTGCTTCTTTTGCAGCTATGATGAAAAAAGAGTTCATAACAGAGCAACACTAATGGATAAGCTGTGGCTGAGCAGTGCTTACACTGTCAAGGCCTTTTCTGCTTCCCGAGCCACCTTACCAGAGAACAGGCTGCTGGGAGTGCACAAGAAGTTGAGAGACAGCCCCACAGCTGACCAAAGGGACTTCCCATGCCATATGGCCTTGTGCTCAGCAATAAAAGCTGGGGAAGTTTTCCATGGCTGCAATTGCTCCGGAACTGCCTGGGAATCAGTTAGCTGGCAGAGAAAAATTGTGGGTAGGTTTGCATCCCTTGGTTTTTTTGGGTTTGTTTTGTTTTGTTTTTTGTTTTTTGTTTTGGTTTTTTTTTTGCTTCTTCTGTTTGTTTTTTCTTTTTAACAGCAAACTCAACTCACAAATTTTCACACTTGTACTCTTCTGCTCCCAGTGTCCATCCCACCAGGATGTGATATGAACAAGCAGCTGTGTGGAACTGAGTTGCCCACCAGGGTTAACCCACAACATGTGTCTACATCTGTCACTGGGTTCACCAGAGCCCTCCCAAAGGAGCCTCCTGGGGCAAGGACAAACCCCTCACTCTAACTGGCTCATCTAAATGTGAACATTTGCACTCTTCCCAGTATTCAGAGTAGAAGAGTCTTTCACAGGCCCAGGACTTCTCCTTCAGTTTCCAGGTTCAATTTCTTCCCATTCCTTTTCATCTGTTTGCACACTGATACCATCCTTCATCACAAACAACTTAACTTCCTTATTGGTATTTGTCCTCTCTCACTCAGGAAACAATTCAGTTTCTTGATCTCTATATGAAGGCCAAGCAAAACAAGCTCTTCTAACTTCCTCTCATTTCACATGCTTTTCATGCTCCCAGCCACCCTAGTAACCATCCTCTGAAATCTTTATTCATTTTTTTTAAACATGGGGCACCACAACTGCATGCAAGACTTTGTATGAAGCTATCTGTCTGAATACTCTTATGAAAGCTGATAAAATCATACATGCAGGAATTTTTACTAAAAATCATAGTAAAATCATAGCCATAAAAAGCAGATCTTTCATATATTTTCTTACTATGGCTGATATTTAATATGTGAATGATGGCAGACATATAAAAAAAAAGTAGGTGACTGAAATCTGGAAGTACAAGGAAAGTTTTTAGTAAGTATTTTTCTTGGTATAATTGCAGTGGATATTAACTAAAAGTTATACTTCCTCATAGAAAAACAAAAACAAAACAAAACAAAACAAAAAAAACCCAAAAAAACCCCAAACTTCAAATAAGCCTAAAATAGAACTTTTCACTGAGAGTATATTAGTCATAGAACAGAGCAGGATTCTTGGGCATTTTGTATGCCATCAGTGAAGAGAGTTACAGGAAAAGTATGAGGTGAATGGGTTGTGGAGAACCACAATTCCATGCCAGTTCCATGCAATTAAAGCCTAATAAAGCTCTTTTGAGAAGCCTCTATCAACACATCCAAAGATAAGTCCCATTTTCAGAGAAAAACGCTAACACATCTCATACCTGCATGAACACTGTTCAGCCCCTTAACATATCACATTACCACTTGCTAGTAAGTAACCACAAGAACAGAATAGAAAACTTCCCCCCTCTTAGAAAACCTCTCAATTTTTTCTTTAAAAATACAAAAAAAGAAACCCTTATGAAGCAGAAAAAAAACCAAAACAAAACCACACACACAAACCACCAAAAAAAATCCCAACCACAACACAACAAAATTAAAGACATCATACCACCTCACACTCCTCTGCTGCAGCATTCAGCCAAGAAGTGGCTGTGCTGACTCCAACTCACAGTCTCTCTTGCCATACTGCTGGGTCAATGCAATGCTGCCTTTTTTCCCTTCTCCAAGGAAGTCTCACAGCAACTTCTCAGCAATCATTTCCCTCCAGAGTTGAGCACTGAAGCCTAAGCCTGTCCTCTGAGTCAGAGAAGGTGGTTTATACCCTGATTTCATTCAGTGAGAGCAGAGCCTTAATTAATGTTTCTCTCTTCACTGGTGTAGCCTATGAACACCCAATCATGGGGCTCATGGAGGTGTTGGCTTCTCTAAAGTGAAGTTTTGAAGCCAGAAACTTTTCCTAATAAAATCTTCCTGAATTGGCCATACCTTCTGTCTCCAAAATGTGTTTTCAGGGAAATGACATGTTTCAATGAAAGTATTTTTTATTGAAAGGACTTGCTGGTAATCTTTGATAAGCATGTTGAACCAATGATTGTGTTCCCACACAGAAGAATCTAAAGGACCCAACATGTTTTGTGCATACAAACTGACAGGAAATCTCCAGCCACATCTTACCCTACTTTCAGTTACTCTCATTCCTTGCTGACCTTCTCCAGCAGATTCTTGTGAAGCCAAGGAAAACTTTGGAGTTCTGTGTGAGATTTCACTACCTTAACTCAAGATGACTGACCCTTGCTCTAGACAAAGTCTTTTTCTTTTACAGGCTTTTCTCCCTCTGCTACCCCTTTTCATGCCGGACAGCCCTGGATCTCTTCCAGCTGGACAGTCCGGTTTGTGCAAGAGGAGAGACTATGGCCTTGCCTGTTCCTTTATACATCTGAGACTACTTTCTTCCCAAGAACAATTCTGCCTGGCTCTCTCATGAGCTATATGAGTTTGCAGTTTCTCTGAGAAGCCCTGGACACCACAACTGTCTTGATTTTCTCTTTATGGTGTTTGTTGCGAATGTTATTCCTAAATCCTCATTTCTTTCTGTAGCCCACAAACTTGATGATAGCACAAGCCCTGCCATTCTTTCCAGTTAAATACATTTTGAACCTGAACAGTTTCTCTGTAGAAAAAGAGACTCTCACAACCTTTTGAGGATGCACTTGGCACCTACTGCTAATGCTTAGGGGTTAAGACTTTGTGGCAAACATCTGCCAACTCAGCTCCCAGTGCTACTTACATAAATATGCTTTTGTTCTTAGAATATGTTACACCAGGTTTCATAAAAGCACCCGTGTACCGCTATAAAAGATTTAAAAGATATAAATAATAACCTAGGAGTCATTTAAAGTTAGGATCAGCAAATTTCAAGGAAGGGATCAACCAACTTTGGTAATTTAACAACTGTTTAAAATACATTAGCAATATCTGGTTTAATCTTATGGTAATTTATAAGCTATGAGGTTTTTTAAGAAAAAAGTCACAGTAATACAGGAACACAATAAATTAGGTACAAGCCCACAAGTGAGTTTTTTAAAGAAAAAGTCTATCATTCTACAGAACTGCTAAAGACATGAGCATGCACATAAACAAACAAATGAGCACACAATACATATATAAGCATTTCAAATAGATGTATAGGTTTGGTTTGGAAAGGAGCAGGTATATTTGATTTGTCTCTTATATTTCTATTCTGTGCAGGAGTATTAATGAACTCAGGTACTCAGAATAGGCATGCAGACAGTTTTCATGCTTGAAAAAGAATACAGTAAGCCCCCAGTACCCCTGCTCAAGGAAAACATGTAAGGAACTGGTTCACTGTATGCATACCTAGTGTCTTGTTGCATATCTACCTCATTATGTTGTGTCTGGGGGTTCAGTGATTTTTTTCAGCTTTTCTTACATGCTTTGGTGCTACTAAGGCAAGGAGCTGAAGTGAGAGCTGTTCACCGTCCTATCTGAACTTAGGCAGAGCCTGTTGTCTACCAAGGTCAAAACTGCTTAGCATAGAAAATACAGTATAAGGAATCTTCTGAAAACAAGGTGGTCATACACCTGGTGCTCCCATGTTATTTTTCAACACCCATGTGTCCCTTTGAAGCAAAAGCCCTCATCAGGAAAGCAAATCAAGACATGCCTGTCTTGCCAAGGCTGCAGAGCTGGCCTGCTGCTCTGGGAAGGAATGGAGGTTGGCTGGTACCTGAGAGGAAGCCTCATGTAGCTCTAACAGTGCCATGCTTTCATGTGCTGCCAGGCAGCACAGGGCCAGGTGTGGCTCACAAGACCTGGGCAAGCCCCTGTGCCTGGGGTCTGCTGCACAGCACACACTTCTCTTGGCACCCTCTTGCCAGTGGCAGACAACATGGCACAGACCTGCGAGCACGGCTTCTGCTTTCAACTGTGGGTTCATACATGGACATTTTCATGGTTGCCCTTCAAAAGTTTCCACTTAAAAACAAAAAACAGACACTTTTAACTGAACCCAAACCAGGAATAAGGACGATTGTTACCCTTTGGAGGGGTTTGATTAGTGACTTTGTCTTGCTTATTCCCCTTCCACATAAGAAGAAAACTTACTGAAATCTAACCAAACTTATTGAATTTTACATAAAGGTTCATAAAAGAAATCACACTCTTCAGTTTTAAATTCTATTTTAAAAGTCCTTTCCATTCTTGCAGGGCTTTATTTTACAAATAATGCTGAGGCTAAATCTATTCTTTCAATACAACTGGTGTTTGTGATTTAAGTAATCAAACAGGATCCTTAGCATCAGGAACCATAAAATCTAGACCTATTTTGACTTACTTCTATTAGGTAACTTTGCCTAAACCAGCAAGGGGCAAAATAGGGAAGGTGGTGCTCAAAGAGTAAAACAAAAAAAAATTATTTAAAGTTCTTTGAAACAGAGAGACTTTCTGCACCCCATTGTCCCAGTGTTGGTGATGTTTGCCAAGTCTTTCCACAACACAAGAGGTTAATTTGTATTCTGTGGATAATAAAAACAGCAAGCAAGGTAATACAAAACTGGCATTATACAAATGGGCTTGGGGCTGCACAAGAGGAATATCAATATTATTAAAGGAAGGACTTGCCTTGTATTATATGTTTTCCATTAGAAAAAATCCTTCACAAAATTCTGCTGAGTTCTAGTGCTCTGGCAATATAAAATCTTTCCTTCACTGTCAGAAAAAGAGGCAAGACCAAGATGATGTTACTAACAAAGTCATACAATGTCAATAAGAATAAAAGATATAAAGAAAGTAATAAAAGTGCAAAACTCATAGTGCACATTTCACAGCTTTTAAACATACATATTTGAGAGGGAATATAATATTCCTGAAAAGAGGATAATCATAGGTTTGTTTTTTGTGGGACTCAGACTGCTGAGAACATCTCAGGATTGGACCCTCGAGTTCAGGAAGACATAGAAGAAGTTGCCTGACACAGTTCTGCCAGCCTATTTCCAACCTGACCTAGAAAAACCCATGCAGTTTCTGTTCTGAAATTCTGTGAAGAGTCTGCCAATTGTACCAGACTGCAAGGTGGTTTAATGATGTGGACAAACGGGCCTTTTATTTCTCCTGTGCTAGTCTGGGAAAATTTGGAAACCAAACATTGTAGTACCTTTCAGTGTTCCCGAAAACTGAATAGGGAGCTTTCCAAGGTGTACAGTAAGTTGCCAGAGGTTCAGCAACAAGACAAAACCTTGCAGCTTGTTATTGATAGTTCACCTGCACATACAAAAGAAATAATCCTATATTATACCTTTGAAAATTCAGAGAAACTGAATATGATTATAGAAGCAAAATTTTCAAATTTTCAAATTTTTCTTCATAATTTCAGATGTATTCCTAGCCTAACAAGACTAAAAATGTAAGAAACAACTTAAATGATTTCACAGATATTAAATTATTCCAGGTAGAATGCAGAGATGTTTCAAAAAGAGACTGAACTCCATCCTCCTTTTCCTGCATCCACTGTTTTCTATATTTGCTCATGCATCACTTGATTACCCTTATCATTCACAAAGATTACAAAATATCCTTTCCCAAATTCAGTAGTATGAGTTAAGAAATAGAGAAAGACAGAACCCAAAGGAACTCCTGTAACTTCTATAAATAGCCTTTTACAAAAGATAAGAGCTTATGAACTGAAAAGATGATATTGTCTATTGCTGAGCAGTTTTCTGGACAATACCATTTTACACGTCATATTCTCATAACAGATAGTCTTCCAACCAAAGAATTGATCCAAATACTTTTTTTACAATTAGCAAATTACTTTGTGAAAATTTCTCTCTGTTGTAATGGGAGCTGTGCCTAATCCTCTTTGCAGTTGATAATCATATTTCCCATTAAAATAATCTTCTCTCATACCCGTAGGACAAGCTGGAGAGGAAGATTTCACAAGGGCATGTAGTAATGAAACAAGAGGTAGTGGCTTTAAACCAAAAGAGAGTAAGTTCAGATTAGATATTAGGAAGAAATTCTTTACTATAAGGGTGCTAAGGCACTGGCACATGTTGCCCAGGCTGTAGTTTCTCCATCCCTGAAAGGCTAGGCTGGACTGGGCTTTGAACAGCCTGGCCTACTGCAGGTGTCCCTGCCCACTGCAGGGATTTGGAACTAGAGGAACTTTAATGTCCCTTCCAACCCAAACCATTGTGTGATTCTATGATTCTAAGACAAGGAAGCATGAGGTGGTTCAGGTCTGTATTCACAACCTGGAGGATCCTTGCTGTTTGTAACAGTCAGAATTGTCTCATTGGAGGTCCTCTCATGTCCAAATACATCCTTACCATTCAACAGCCAGTTAGGCAGGACACAGGAAAGGGAACTCAGCTCTTTAAAACTTCAAGTATTACCTAAAGTCTTATTTCTTAAATTTTAATGTTAAGTTAGTGAATTTTTATGAATGGTAGCTAGGAATGGCATAATTGTTCTTGTCCTTCTATTCTCTCCTCTGTCTCTCCCTCACATGAAATTCTACTAGGGAATATACTCTCCTGGCAGAAAGATGTATTCAGAGATTCAGTAACCTTTTTCAAATCATATCTTGTCTGAGTTCATAGCTCCCTGCACACATGCCCACACATTCTCTTCCTGGAATCCTGATTTTGCTCCATTTTTCCTCCTCTCCATACCATAGTTCATCATCTGTGGAGTACCAAAATTTTTATTTCCTTGAGAATCTTTCATTGGGCTCTGTATGAAAACACCTGTTTTGCAAATAAAAGATACAAAACTGATTTTACATTAGTCCTATTGCTTTCCTTGAAGCCATCATTACACAGGATAAGGATTCACATATGATAATGCTGACATTCAAATCTACAACTGAACTGTCTAAGACAATCTCCAAACACTATCCTCGTGATTAATAAACTGTACATTCACACAGAAATATTTGATGTACTGCTTTACTCACCAAAGTCTCTTATTGTATAGTCAAAGGTTACTTGGAATTTATCTGTCACCACCAGGCTGGAGCTCACTATTATTAAGCAAAATTCAATCTGAAGGGCAGTGAAACTGTACACGGAATATGGAGTGTTTTGACTCATAAAAATACTGAAAAGTAGGTTTGGGACTTAGATTTAGGGAAAATTGTATTAATATTTTAAATTAGCTCCCCACAGTCACGATCACCCAGTACATGTGTAGTCCAGAGGGGTCACAAGAATATCTGTTCCTACTGTCTCTATACAGCGCATATCCTAATGTCTTATAAAACATCTGAAGAAGGCCACAAGTTACTGCTATACATTTCCATGGAAATGTTACCATTATGATGGACCCCTATAATAGCACAAAATTTTCTGTTCTATATTGTCTTTCTGCAGCTGGACTGTTGTTTTAAAACCTGATCATACATCTTGAGCTCGTGGAAAGGAAAGAAATGAAAGACAGACAAATACTGGGATTATATTGCAAAGATAGACTCAAAAAAAGCCACAGAAGTCACACTAAAATTGAGAATACCTTTCTTTTACTGTGGAAGAATTCCCATATCTTATCCTAGTATTCTTTATATATACCTAGAAAATAAAAATGCACTTTTAATGCCTCATAGGAAAAAAAAAAATCTCCCCTTATTGATCTCTGAAAGGAAGTTATAAATACATCTGGCCTTATGATTATGAACTACACATCTCAAAAGATATCTGAATTTCCATGAAGCACAAGGATTGGATGCTCACTGAAGATCAGGAGTATTTCAAAGTCCAAGCCCCCTTGGTTCCTAGAGATTACATTGCATCCCAGCTCTTACCATGCTCATGCACCTGTGTTTATTTCCAAAAGAACCTGGAAATTGCATACCTGATACCAGGACTCTGGTCCTGCGTTGAATGTATTGTCATTCAGACAAGAATGTCTTATGATGGAAATCATTAAAAACGTTGGTTTTCAAAGACGGGGACTGGAGCTACTTGTTTGTGCATCGCGTCTCACCACTTTCAGCTTGCACAACTTTTCAAGCTGCAGCTGCAAAAGACAACACATTTGAAAGGACAAGAGAATGTCACTGCCATAAAATGAAAGCCTTTAACATCACTGGTTTTCATTCTTGCCATAAATGAGACCAGAAATCATCAGGAAACCAATGTTTTCACTGAGATCAACTCTGGAGCCATACACTGACCTGATGGATCTGCCTATTATCATCAATATTATTCCTTGTTACTGGAAGAATCAAGAAAATCACTACTTGGGTTCCTGATGCCTTTCCCAATTTCCCAAGGCCCCAAAGCCTCTTTTGATAGCCCTTTGTCTTCTCTTCCCTGCCAGTTTAAACAACCAATAGTGGATAGTAATCAGAGGGCCTTACTAGACTGGAAAGTTTTCCAATAATGTCCCTTCTCTGAGCCCATCAGAGACAGCAGACTTCCCTGAGAGCTGGGTCCAGCCTGCATATCAGGACCTCTGCTCCCCTTAGAAGGAAGTCTCCTATTACAACTATCCTTCTTTTCCTGTTAACAGAGGAGGTCTTGATACAGGGTACAGGTGGTATTGTTTTAGGAGGCCCCACTGTCTCCGAAGGACCTTCTCCTACATTGTCTGTTGTCTCGTCTTCTAGTTCTGAAGCCTCAGACCTGTTGTAGAAGGTACCAGTCCCACTTATCAAATTCTGAGAAGGAGGAGGAACCTTCCTTCTGCTATGTGCAGTGACTGCTTCCAGCCCTCATCTGTAACAGATCCTTGACTAATAGTGCTTTGACTAAATACCCTGCAGGGTTCTGAGTCCATCTGCTTCTGCACTACAATACAGGTTCAGGACTAAAAGGAATACTAAGAAAGTTTACAGACAATACATAACTGTGAGGAGCTGTTGACTCCCCAGAAGGCAGGGAGATCCTGCAAGACTCCTCAATAAATAAGAGGCCTGGGCAATCACCAACAATATGAATTTCAAAAAGAGCAACTGAAGAATTCTGCACCTGGGATACAGCAACCCTGGATGTATGCACAGACTGTGGAATGAGATGCTGGAAAGCAGTGCTGTGGAAAGGGACCTGGTTGATGGCAAGTTGAATCTGGCAGCCAGGAGGGCCAACCCTGTCCTGGGGGGCATCAGGCACAGCATGGCCAGCTGGGCAAGGGAGGGGATTGTCCTGCTCTGCTCTGAGCTGGGGCAGCCTCACCTCCAGTGCTGGGGGCAGCTCTATGTGACACAAGATAAAATAGATATTAAATTACTAGGGAGTGTCCAAAGGACGACAGTGAAGATGGTGAAGGGTCATAAGGGGAAGCCATATGAGGAGCAGCTGAGGTCAATTGGTGTGTTCAGCCTGGAGAAGAGCAGACTGAAGGGAGACCTCACTGCAGTTACAGCTTCCTCATGAGGGGAAGAGGAGGGGCAGGCACTGATCTCTTCCCTGTGACAGTGACAGGACCAGAGGGAATGGCCTGAAGTTGTGTCAGGGGAGGTTTAGGTTTGATATTAGTAAAAGATTTTTCACCCAGAGGGTGTTTGGGCACCGGAACAGGCTTCCCAGGTCACAGCACAAGCCTTCCAGAGTTCAAAGATCATTTGGACATTGATCTCAGGCACATGGTGTGACTCTCGGGGCTGTCCTGTACAGAGCCTGAAGCTGGGCTTGATGATCCTTGTTGGTGCCTTCCAATGTACCTTATTCTGTGATTCTGTGTTTCAGTGACCACATAGATAACTGGTTTCCTAAATGGTGAAACTTACCCTGTCTTGAAAAATTCTGCAGTGTCCACCAGTCTTCTTTGGCTTCCACAACCTTGAAATTGAAATCACGTCCAAGGTGGATAATTTGGGAACCCCAAGAAATTAATCTTCAAGCCACCAGTTCAAACCAAGAGGACAATGATGAGCTGAAAAACATTATATGAAATGAGTTACTGATCTTACTCATTTTCTTATTTATGAAATGCTTTATGTCAGAGAATCATTAGAGAAATCTGTAGTAAATTACCATACTTTCATTATACTCTCAAAGTAAATATTTAAGACCTAAGGAATCTTTACCATCTGGAAAGTGCCTCTAGAAAAGGGGTGAGACAGAAAAAAATCACAGAAAATGCTGAGTTGGAGAGACCCACAAGGATCATTGAGTCCAACTCGTTGACCTGCACAGGACCATTCCTGAACTGAAGATATTTCAAGCTGAGGAGCTAGAAAGAGTCACTAGTGAGACACATTATGCCTATCTATCTGTTTTTCTACAAAATTTACTCTTCTTGGAAGAAAAGTTTTGATTTTATGGAATTTGAATTCATGTGGTCTAATGATTTGCCACCAGGAAATGTGTGCTTCTACCCTAACATTTTACGTAATAATTCTAAGACTCATAGACTATAATTTTAGCAATAACAATTTGGTAATGTTTTCTTTGAGTTTAAAAATTCACCATGCTCAGTTTTGAAATTACGGAGTTGTTTGAAGAGCTTGCCTCAAAGTTCTTTCAGTCTCTCCTCCATATAGATTGTAGTTTCTCATCCACACATTCCAAGCCTTAAAAATAACTCAGAATATATATATATAGGGCCATAGAACCAACCAGCTCAACTCTGTTTAGTTGGCAACCATTTGACTTTCACCACAGGGACAGCTATAGTACTAACAGCTAATAACGCACAGGTTATTTACATGGACATCTTGCTGGGACCAGAAGAATTGTGCTTACATGAAAAGTTTGTTGTTCCTAAGGTTTAACATTAAAGCTCCATTTGCCTTTATTTTCTTCTTTTTTTTTTTTTTTTTTTTTTTTTTTTTTTTTTTTCTGTTTCCTTAAACCTCAGTGGAAAAGAGGCGCTTACAGTGAAAGTAATCCAACCAGATATCTTCAAAATCTTAATAGGCAAAGTGGATTGACCTCAGTTCATCTTCATGGAGCTTAGGACAAATTGATCAATTTACTTCCTAAATAATTACCATTTGAATGTTGATTTTACCTTCCTAAGATTAGTACATTAAAAAGCCTGCATTCAGGAATGCTAATGCAATGCAGTTCTACACACACACACAGACTCACAAAAAACCACAATATATTCTTTATATAGACAAGCCTCAACTGATTCTGGGTAATGAGGATTTACTGATTCTTTTGTTGAAGAATGAAAAAAAACCAAACAGAAATAAAACAGAGAAATGGATATAGTTAGAGTTCTGGAGGGAAAGACTTTATTTAGCATTCAGATTTTTGAGGTTAGGCATTAAGATTCTATGGATGCAACAACTGCAATCCAAAGTTTATCTGTTTAAAATAAGCCCATGGAAAAAAGAAGGCAAGGAATTATTTATGTTTGAAAGGAGCGATCTAAAATGGGAAAATCTAAAAAACATATAATTATTTCATAAATGTTGTAAGTTGCCTATTAAGATTCCACATAATACACTGATTGTGCAATAACTTTTGAAGTTTAGTTGCAATAAATGGTATTTGTTTTTGTTCTCCAAAGGAGTCAAATATTGAGGCAAGGTACAAACTCAGATGTATATCTGTTCATTTCAGTGAAGGCTGGGATAACGTAACAGGTATGGTTAGAGTTTCCCAGGTGGAGGAAGACTCACCAGCAGTCCAGACTCTTAGCCATACCCAAGTAGGCTCCATTCCCATAATCAACCTCCCTGACAGTCATTTTCTTTGTTGAGAAAAGCTTTCTCTGCTGCAGCAGATGCTGACAGATCTTAAAGAATTTACTCTGGTTTGGCATCAGCCAACAGCATCTGCCCCTCTGAATGTGCAACAAATAAAGAAAGTTTAAAAAATATGTATCTCAATTTAATGAGGAAATTCTTCTTTTCTGTATCCCTGTCTCAATTTCTCCCATTTCTTTTTTATCAAAAGTTTCACATTTTTTCTTGTAACATTTTATATTCTGATTCCTCTCTATGGATGTTGCTTATATCTCTGCATTTATCATCTCTTGGAATTTTTATCTTCTGGAAATTCTCCATTACAGCTTTAGTATAAGTTGCTTTTTCTGCACCGTTTCTAATAAGAAAACTGCAGTCTTTCTGTGCTTCTTTACAAATGCTTTTGAGTTCTGATTCCAATATCCCAGGAGCCTGTTTTTCCTCTCTTCTGGAACAAATATAAGTTCTGAGGGGAACCTCAAAATCCATCCAACCTGATGAATTCTGTTTAGAGCAAGTCTCTGCAAGATGGAGTCTTGTCTTTTATCCTGACTTTTAGCTGAAATTTTTTAGATTTCCCACAGACAGATCACAAAGATGATGGCTGGGCTTGCTGTGTAACCCGTTAATTAGCTCATGACCCAGGAAAGAGTCACTTAGGTTACTTACCTTCTCTAGTTTATATAAAAAAAAGCTTAAGAAATACTGTTAATAATATATATATATATATATATATTTAGTGGGAAATGGATTATGTGCTTAATTAAAGTCTGGAAGAAATATAATCCTTTGTAAGTGGGATTAGTACTATATATGTATTGCAACTGCAATGGCTTAAAAAAATATTTTCTTGTTGTCTATCGTGAAAATTCAAAGTTATCATCCAAAAAGCTAAGTTAGGCACAAGATTCAGCTCCAACTGGCACACTTCAGTCCAACACCTCAGGGGGTGTGATCCGAGGCTCTTAATGCCCCATCGTTCGTCACCTGGTGAGCCATCTACAATGTGATTACAACCATAATCATTTTTCAGCACAGGTTTCTCTGAGAGTGCCAAGGGAACAGAAACACTGATTCAAGTCACACACAGATTTCTACCAAATTTGGTGTTTGGCAGGGGTGCTGAGAACACCTCACTTTTTCTTTGGTCACTGGCATGATTGAATTTACTAACACAGCATTTCCACTATATAGCAGTAATACTGCCAGATGCAAAACGATGAAACAAGGGGCTAACACATCACGTTAGGTGAGTTCATTTTAATCTTGCTTCCTTTATACCATCCAGCATCCTTCAGACCTGTTTTCATATAGCCAAACATGCCACGTGTAAAAAATCTGTGAAATTTGGAGCAGACAGGTTGGTCTTAGTTCTAAGAAGTAACACACTGAGTGAAAAATGCTGAGAGCCATTTATTTAGACAAATAGACTCCAAAGTGACATTTGTATTTTGCTATCGTTACTATAAATACTTTGTCTTTTTTAGGAAAGCTTTTCCTGGATGTTATTCTGAGAGGATCAGTCACAGTGCTTTTGACCTTTTACTGTACACTACTCCATTAACATCCTGTGGAGAAATTCTCCTTATACATGTAATTGATGCATTTTATGAGACACAAATCAAAATAGATAGTCAAAAAAAAGATAGCATGGAGCTCAGGAAGAGCTGCCTGCCTGAGTACTTCGTTGGCATATTGCCTATAGTTGATAGTGTCAACTCAACATATGGCCCTTCAAATGCACTGATGAATCCTCTTATGGGAATAAAGTCAGACTTGTCTGTGAAATGTTTAAAATTTCAAAGTCCAACAAATAAAGCAAGTTGTTGCTCTAGCACGGAGGACACCTTACAGGGCTGTATGCAAACAGCGTAGATTTCCACCACAAATATTTTTTATAATTTCCACAGGCCAGTGTGAACAGCCTTGCACACGACCAGAACAATTGTTAAAATAGTTGCTACTTGAGCACGGCCAAACTATGTTACAAGCAGATTTAGTTGGACAAGCACTGAACTTTAAAAAAAGGCAATTGTTAAGCTTGTTCTGAAGCTATAGATGTATCCTCAAATTAGGGCGAACTTGAAACAGTGCAGAAAAGAGAGGATGGCAGAATTATGCAATTAAAATTCTCATCTAACCTCCTGAACAAGATCCAACAACTACAGAGTGTCTGAAATTATATATTCAGTGTTCATATGTGGCAGTGATAGAGTAAAAGAATTTGTACTAGTTTGGCTTTTCACATAGACATGCAAAACAAACACAGTCTCCATGCCAAGAAGTACAAGGGTACATGGCAAAGGACTGGGAACAGAAAGGCAGTCCTACTGCCTTGCCTGCTCATCTGAATGAGGTAAAGTGATGGGCACATGACCCAAATGACTGAAATAATAACCCTCTTAAATAATGACCCCTTTTAGTGTTGCTATTGTTAAAACGAAACAAACACTGCTGCAAAAGGATTTCCTTTCCAGCATTTTTTGCTGCTGCCTCCAGTGGCCCTTTCAGGCAATGAATAAACTTCAAGAAGGGCGGTCTGGTGCACAAATGCTCTCTTTATCTTAAAGGGGTCAATGGTCAAAGGTGAAAAAAATTCATAGAGCAGTTATGATTAAAGGTAGGTTTTTATACACTTTTGATAAAGACTTGTAAAACGGCCAAAAGAGATCCTGCAATTTTAATGTTAAGTGGCTTTTGTATTGGAAAAATGCCCAAGGCCCATGTCTAGCACGGTCACTTACAAATGACTGATGGGAGATCAATACAGACGGAGTGGGGATGCAGCTTTGTCACTGGGAGATGTAGTTAGTATGTGATTAGCCTTAAGTAGCATTGACACGGGTGTAGATGGGCAGTAAAGTGCTTAGTATCCAGCGAGCATGATAGCTGTTTGTACACAAAAGTTAATGAAAGAGGAAAACCACATTATCATTAAACACTCAAAGGGTCTTCCCACACCCATTTGGGGATTTTAGGAGCAGATCAGTCTGACAATGAGCTGTTTAGAGCCGCCAGTCCCAACAGCATTAACTCTGAATTTGGTTTTCTTTTATGAGGAGCAATCCCACAGGACTTGGTAAACCACCTAGTTAAGTTCTGTGTGCAACCTGATTATAGGGGAACAAGTAGGCCACTTTGCCTTTCTGAGAGACAGAAAATCCTCTTAAGTAAGCACAAATTGAAACTTGAAAGTAGAGAGAGAAAACAAGAAGACACCTTGAGGAAGGCAAGG